AGTGAAAGCGAAGAATAACAATGTTTATTAACTAGAGACCATATTAAAATAGAGAAGAAAGCCCTGCTGATGACTTTTTTTTCTAAAAAAAGGGGGGATCTTTGTCAATTTCTGCTTGACCTTATAACTGGGTATGTGAACCTGCTATCAAGGATTTGTAATAAGTGTCACTGAGTATTTTTAGATTGTTATGGAGGCGTTGTGGCTGACTCCTAATTGTAGAGCTGTTTCAATTCAGCAACTGAATGGGCGATCCATATAAGCTCATGTTGCAACATCTAAGTTAAATTTAAGCCCAGACACTAAACCTTAGTTTTTTGGAGCATTCATTTATCTTATCAGCTCATGTAATGTGATTAGAAAAGTCTTGGGGATGATCCGGATGACGTTTTGCAAAAGTCAAACTCACAGTTTTTGATATATTTCTCATGATATCTAATTCTTCCCTAACCTCTTTATCATCACTGAATCATAAACACTGACCTTAACTGAGGAAAGTGAAGCCTGAGGTGCATTCACTGTGGTTCTGAGTTGTTTTGTGATGTCCTGCCTGAGTGTTGATGTTCTCTAGGAGTATTTTTAATGGCCCTCCACATCTGGGATTTCCAAAGCCATAAAACTGGTTTATAAGAGTTTCCAGTCGGAAATATGTCAATAAATAAATGTTCATTTTACAGGCCTGGGTATGTTTAGAGTAGCTTTCTACAAAGAGATGTCTATATTTTCACAATTGATTTATGACTTACCAAATACCAACACTACATTTTAATAAAGATTTCGGTATTAATACGGCTAGTTTGTTTTTTCTGAAGTTGGCATTTACTGAAGTTTACTTTATCTGATATTAAAATCCTATTGATGTAAAAAAAATTACATAGCTACAGTACTATACTTTGGGTCATTTCAACCATTTATTCATGGTCTCTACTTTGTATGATTTTGTCATCTACAAATATTCGATATCTTTAAAGAAATGTTTCCATATGTATAGAAATCATGCACAGTTGTCAATCATTATTTGACTTCTGTGTTATGATTTCATTTAAGCCAGAAGCACAAACTAATATTTGAAGAGATGACAGAGTAATTGAATGCTAACAAATCCTTAAGTTCTTTTATATGTAGTTATTGATGTTATAAAATCACAGTTATGCGTTTCATGTCACAGATTTTTGTGACATTTTGATCAAATGCTGCTTGTTCCACCAGAAAGCTGAATTAAACTACTTCATTTAAAAGCCAGACTTTTTTTTTTTTTTTTTTTGAAATTCTTTTTACTGGCCCATAATGAATCTCTAGTAATTTATTCACCAAAACACAGGAAAATTTGTCTACTTTTACACAGTGTGACTTACAAATAACAGCGCCTTGAGGAATTTGAATCGCATGCCTCTAAAGCAAGAGGCAAGAAAATCACAACCAATTTCCAGAAGAAGCCATGTAAGAATCAGTTATGGTTTCAAGGGAAATAAAATAAGGATCTTTTCCTTTTAGTTTGTTGCTTTGCCTGGATTTCTGACATTGGTTTGAATGGATTTCTACCATTTTCTAATATTTCAGCTATTTCGTACTCTTTAAAATATATTTCTTCAGCAGGTCATTTAACCCATCCAACATTTTTTATCTTTTTTTTAATCTCCTTTCACATATTTTCCTGCACTGTTTGATGTTAGCACAACATCATCATCAGCATGGTTCCAAACGTGAAGATGTGCAAGGTAATTAACCTGGAGGCTCTTTCCTCCTGCTTTCAAACATCATGTTACATCATTATTATCAATATTTGTCTGTTGCAGGATGGCGGACACTAGAAGCAGAGCAGAGGTATTATTTGATTTTGTCATGCAGGTAACGCTTTGATGTGTCTGACTGTAATGAGTTGTTTCTGCATCTCTGTGTATCCTCCACACTTGTCAGCCGAAAGGACAAGGTCTTTCATTATCCCTCCAGCAGCAGTAGCTATCTTTACAAGCCATGCAGTGGGATAAGAAGAGTAACAGGTCCAGCCTGTCAGCTGTGTGGCCGTTTTAATAACATGCTGAAAGTCAATTTGATCCTTTTTAATTTGGAAAAGAAGTTGGAGCCTTAAACCCAAGAAATTCATATTAATTGAATACTCTGATTATTCTAACCCTTATGATGAAGAAAAGGTTTAGGGGGCTTTCTAGCTACTGCATATTTTTTTTCCTTACGTTTTTTGTAATAACTAGCTTTCTTTTTAAACAAATCTGTGATAAATCTGAGTATTAGTGACATCTTTTTAGGGTTATACTAGTGTCTTTTAGCCAGTGGTGCCAAATGAGGCGATTTCCATGTAAGTACAAAGGCTAGAAAAGAATAAATAACCTTGAAATGTAAAAATAAAATAAAAATTAAGCTGTCTCTGCATGGACCTGTATTTATTGTATTAGTTGTGCTTTGCTTTGCTCGTAATTAGGTCCCAGTAATGTGATCCAGTGATGCAGCCTCTTTAGAGTTAAATCATAATACACCCAGAATAGCTGTGCAAAAACTTGAAACACTGACAACCACTGGCAGAAGTTCATTGCCATGTGAAAGTATTCAGTCCCCTTGAAATTTTCAACCTTGTCATTCCACTTTATGATTGTTTCCCACTTGTTGATTTTTCACAAAAAAATTTAATTTTATATCTTTATGTTTGAAGCCTGAAATGTGGTGAATATATATTTATATATCTATCTATACAGTAGCAGCCATTCAAAATGGCCCTTACCAGTCAAACACCAGGCGAATGGCAGTCCACCTCCCTGCAACTAGAAATCCCCTCCAAATTCCAGCCACTGGAGTGACCCCCTCTTGCATATTTTTGTACTCTGACTCCAGTCTTTCACTGAATTACAGGGTCTGACCAGGAGATGATGCTTCTCTTTAGATCTTAATGTCCACAAATCATGACGGAAAGAATATGTTAGTGTTTTCTGGGACCGTGGCGCTCGCCTCATGTCTTTCCGAAGCTTGGCCGCTCATGGGGGTCAGAGGAGGCAGCGATGTCCGTGGTGCTTGTGGCTCAAGAAGGAATACCCTCAAGTCACCACTACTACTGTCTGTCTGTCTGTCTGTCTGTCTGTCTGTCTGTCTGTCTGTCTGTCTGTCTGTCTGTGTATGTATGTATACCTGTTGTAAAGCAAGCAAAGTATGGAAAAAATAGATTTAAGCAACTCTAAACGTGGCTTGATTGTTTTAAATGATCCTGTTGATAATGTATCAAAAGGTATTGAGCAAACTAACCTCAGATGACAGGCAGCAGCAGTACAAAAGATTACTTGTTATAACTGAAGTATCTGGAATACATTCTCTGAAGGAACAAGACGTCAAACCTCGACCATGGCCTACCGCAGAAGAAGACCACATAGGGTCCCCCCACCTGTCAGCTAAGAGCAGCAAGCTGGGGCAATAGTCACACAGGATCAACAAAGCTAGACAATGACAGATTGGAACAGTGTTTAATAATTCTTCAGCTGCAGCATCAAATACATGAAAGCTTGTATTCAACAGTTTTTGTATGCACACTTTAGTTCCCTTATATCACCTGAGAATCTTTTAAACACAACAGCCCACCCTTTAATAGTTAAATTGACTATTTTTTTGCAGCAGTTTTGTTTTGTATGTGAAAAATACCAAATACCAGTTCCTGGAATACAACAAACTAGACATCACATTGAATGATTATTGAGGAAAATGTCTATATTTTAGTAGGGTACAGCTTCTATCGTAGCTCCTACCCCCTTTTTTATTGTGCCACTGAATAACAGACATTTTAAGGGTTAGAAAGCTATCTTCTTGTGTTCCAGCAAACTGACACAAGTTACTAAAAACATGTTACTATTTAATACTGAGTTCAAGAGCTAAAAACGAAAGCTAAAGGGTGAAATGGCATTTAGACTTTGGCTGTCCCATTTTAGGGTTCTGTTGAGTCATTAATTCCATGTTTGTCTCAGAACCTAATTTAGATCAAAGTTACAACATTGTGTTAAAAGATTTGACTCATATTCATGAAGTTGAACATCTATGTAGAGTCTTCGATTGCATGAACATTTGTAACTTCATATGTATGTGTATGTCTTTTTTGTGTGTGTCATCAAAAAACATCATAAGCATGTGTGGCTACTACAGAAGTAATCAGGAGCCTTGAAAACAAGGGGCTGAGGATGAAAGAGAGCTGTGGCAGGAAAACATTATGCTAATTGTTTTTCTTTGCTTTAAATATATATATATATATATATATTCCTCCCCAAACAGATTTCTTTAGCTTTTTTTTCCGTTTTTACACTCTTATTCTTGTCAACAGTGTTATCACTTTATACAAAATTAACCCTTTTCTAATTTTACTTTATCAAGGAATATTAAAGCTATCCATTCAGCCCAATATGTGAAAGCAATTTGCGTCTTTGTAAATGTAAACTTACTGTGATTAAAAGTTAAGTTCAGATTAATTGGATGCACACAGACATCATGGAGTAGGCTATAAGATAAAAAGAAAACAGCTAAAGTAATTGCCCCACACTCAAAAAGGAAAACAAAACAAAGAAAAAAAAAAAAAACTGAATTTGCAATAACCTGCAATCCTTTGCTGCTAATGTTATTTAAATATTTTTTTTACAAATTCTCTGGAATGGTTTGTTGCCTGCTTCATGGTGTCAGAGATGTTCTAGGAAAGTGGTTGCTTGATCTGGAAGTAACCACAAACAATGGTTTATAACATCATGCCATAAAACATCATTCTATAACTGCATTCTCTATTTGAGGATCTCTTTGTCTATATTAAACATTTTTATGTTTGAAACATTTACGTGACTAGGAGGAGGAAAACTGAAGAAATCTGTAAAATATTTTAAAGCTCTGCATGATATAATTCAGACAGTTTGTCATGGTATTTGCATGTAATTAAACATTATCCCTTGGTATTAGCGCCTATAGGCGTCCTATGAGTGTGTTAATCCAGCTTTGATCTGTAGAGGAACATTTTTTCCAGGACTTACATGTTCTGGTCCCTGGAAGCAGATCCTACAGACAGGCGTCCTGAAGCCGCTCTCTGTGTAGCTGGTAAGAGAGAACCTCTCCTCCAGCTTCCCCTTTGAGCAGTCATCAGATGAGCTGCTACACCCTCGGAGAGCCGCGGACAGCTCCGCTGCGTCCACCCAGCCCCCAACCGGCCGCTCTCCACCTGGGGCCCCGGCAGCAGACGGCACAGTTCGGTCCCCTCCTTGCTGTTGCTGCTGGTGGCTCCGCGTTAAGGTGTTGTTGTTGTCGGGGACCGTGGCGCTCGCCTCATGGCTTTCCGAAGCTTGGCCGCTCATGGGGGTCAGAGGAGGCAGCGGTGTCCGCGGTGCTCGTGGCCCGAGAAGGAGCACCCTCAGGTCACCAAGCAGGACGCAGCAGCGGCTCTTCAGCATGCCCCGGCCGCGCTGCATCGGGCTGTGTCCGGCCAGAAGATCACAGCACCGAGCCCAGGTGCTGGAAGACGTGTGCTGTTTGTGTCCCCGGCATAAGCAAACACTTCTGCATACGTGGATGGATGAAGCACGACTCTAGGGTTTAAATGGCTCCCTTTTTTTAATTTTTATTTTATGTTGAATTGGATCACTATCCCAGATGTTTGACTTTTATTGCTTCCCAATGAAGACGTAAGCAGAAAATAGAAATAAATCCCATCGATGCAAACAAGTGTCTGAAGCCATTAGGTCCATAAAAAAGCTAGAATAGGAAAACCAAACATTAGACATACAGAAATATCACATTATTTTATTACGCTATATTTTCACTCCTCTAATGGCCTTATAATTAAAACTATCTGCTACAATATTTACTATCTCGATTGACAATATGCCTTTACAAAAAGACTAGAAAACAAAAATATGTATTACTTCATGTTTACATAAAATTCAAAAGAGAAAGCCACCGATTTAAACTAGTGCAGCTCTAATTGATTTCGATGTCTTGTTAGGCTTCCTAAACAAATTAAATTAACCGATGGTTTACCATAAAAGAAGTAGATTCACTCTTACCTGAAGAAATATAAACCGATTTCAAGCAACGCGATCTGCAGTTGCTTTATTTCCCTCTCAGATTCTCATCCAGACTGCAGGTCTGAGCTGCACGTCTCTCCAGGAAGCCTCTACATTCCCGAATCATTAAATCGACCAATATCTGAGGACCCAGCAAATTAGGAATCGAATCCATCCGTCATAAAGGAAAACAAAATCCAACAGGACCGGACCGTCCTGCTCCGGGTGAAAAGCGCACCGCACAGAGCCCCCGGATCCTCCTGTGATCATTGGCTGCTGGACGGGTGCTGCAGCTTCAGCACCATTATTCCTGGGACAGCTCCCAGACGCCGCACGTCACCGCCGCACAGTGATGCAAGCGGCCAACTCATTACTACAAGTGTGGCAAAAACACAGGGACATGCATAATAAGCATGGACTTGTTTCTAATAAGGCAGCTTTTTTGACATAAAGGAGCTGCTATATATCCTAGAGCTGAATTAGACTGCTTTGAAATGCATGAGTGTAGTTTAATGGTGGCATTTGATCTGGCAGAGAAATGCGGTTTTAAAAAAAAAGCTTAAAGTGCAATATATAGAACTGTGTTATGGCTTGATTATATTGGGAATCTGATTACACTAAGAGGATTACATGAAATCCATCTACAACCTTTAACAACAAATTAAATTGACTATTAACTCCCAATATAGACTGGATTAATCAGAAAATATAGCTGCGTTATATTGCATTGCTATACATATGAATAATGTACAATAATCAGCTCTGTTGATCTAATTACCTTCACCATCTAAGCTTTTAAAAATGATGCATTGCCTGTTTCCTTCACTTTGTGGATTTGGGATGTTTGCAGACAATGGATGGGAGCTGACACCTGAGCTCAGGTCTGATGGGCTCATGGATGACAGATGAAGAGTGTAAACAGCGGGTGGCAACCAGGCAGGAGAAGAAGAAAACAAACAAGGATATTTCAGCAACACAAAACTCTGCAACGATGCAACAACCTGACAGAAAGGGGCTAGAATCCTTTTTTTTTTAGGGCCTGGATACATAATAATATACATTTTGCTATCAGTCTCCATAAGATGTTGGTTTTTCATATTTATTGGCTTAAGAAAATATTTTCATTCATACAGTTTTTGTCACATTATGGCCACCCCATTAAACCTGCTTTCTTAGGTTTTATTTGAGAGAAAAAAGTGCAGAGTTGTGAAGTAAAAGGTAAGGATTGCTTGTTGATGGTTTTACCTTAGTCCCAGATTATTTTGAACCTCTAACTGGTTTTCTTTCTGGTTTGAATTATATTTAGCTGCATCTGTCTCCTCTCCAATTCAAGCTGCCATTTAGCCCCTGATAAAAACACATCAGAATAAGATGCTGCTGCCACCACACATTTCACATTGATGATGACATTTAAAGTGACGTACAGAGTTTATCCCCCCATCCCCAGATTTGTTTAGGCTGTGACCAATATCGGCCCCATTAAAAGGTTTTCTCACATGAGCTATGGATCTTGAAGCTCCTCCTGAGTTATTATAGATCTCTTGGCCGCTTCTCAGATTAATGCTCCCTTTGCCCAGCATGCCATTTTAGCTGGGCAGCCGAGTTTTGGCCTTGCAGTTGTGCCATACTCTTTATTTTCAAGGTAAAGATTGAACAGTGCTCAGTGAGATGTTTTTAATTTATGATCAGGGGGACTATCACAAAGAGGGCAGATGCAGGTCATGCAATGTTAAAGGGTATTTAATAAAAACTAAAACCAAAATTTACCTGAGGCCATAGACTGAAAAAAACAACAACAAAAAAACAAAATAAGGAACAACCTGCAGGATGCAGAGAAGATAAAAGTTACTGTATTGGGATGATATAACAAGGAATGGCTCAGGAGACAGGCCTAAATGAAAGACTTATTACAGCAGGGAGCTACTATCAGGGAAAGCAGGGGACTAGGGAAGAGGTCACAAATTCTAGTCCTCAAGGAATGGTTGCCTTCTACGTTTAAAGGAGCTTTTTCTTGCAGACATAGGAAACATAGGTGATTAGTTTGACTCTGAACTGGACTGCCTGCGTAGGAGGTAATACGGTCATTTGATTCAGGTGGACTGGGGATGGATCTAAAGGTTGCTGGGCATTGGCCCCTGAACAATAGAATGTGAAGGGAAGAAGAGTGGGGAAGAATGCTAAGCTGATACAAAGTGAAAAAAAAAAAGAATCTAACAGAAACACAAAAGATTATTTATTAAATGTAATGTTTCAAATAAACAAAGTTCCAAACAAAACATAACTAAAACACGTGTCCTTTTTGTTGGCCTATCCACCAAAAACCCTCAAAAATAAATTTTTGTTTGTGGTTGTAAAGTGACACACTCACAAATTTAAATATTCTCTGTCAAAATTCGGTTTATGATTTGGTCATTGTGTAAATGATGTTCAATGACCCCACATATCTCAGATACTATGATTCAGTCCATCATATTAGCACTTGGCTCATAGCTTCGTGTCTTAACTTAATTTTTAGTTTCTTTCAAAGACAGCAAGGCACAGCCAATAATGTTTTCTTATGTTAAAAGAATGATTTTTTTTGAATATCTTTTGATCTAAGTCATAATTGCAACAAAGCCACTGAAACTGACCATAAATACGTTTACTCAAAGGTACTTAAAAAAACCTTTAAAAAAAAAGAAAAAAAAAAAAAGAAAATGTCATGACTCTGAGAGCTGGCCTAATTGATCATTTCATTCAACTGCCTGACTCTGCCCAGTTTCCAATTACCACTGTTCTAATCCACCTACTCCTGATCCTTTATATATGGCTCAGTCCCGGTAATCTGGGCCAGACCATTGAGATTATTGATGTTGTTACTGATGCCACAGTTTATGTTCTCGTACTCGGGGGGCAGTGGTGAGAGAGGGTTTTAGTGTTTCATAGTGTTCCTGATTTCCTGATCATGTTCTGCCTCTTATCCACTGAGCATGCCCTGTTCCTGTCTTGGTTCAGTGGAAAGAGTGGTTTTAGTTTTTCTTAGTGCTCCTGCTAACCTGACCTTTTCTGCCTCTCAACTACTGAGCCTGCCTGTTCCCACCTGAATGTTCTGCCTGAACTCTCTGTGGACTCCTGGAACTCTGGACCATCCTGTTATTATTCTGATTGGTATCCCTGACCTGGCTCGGACTCCTGCTTGCCCCAAAGACTGCAGCACCTGGTTCACTCTGGGCGGCACCCGTGGCTTCTAATTGGCAGCCCTCCGGCTGGATCATATGCCGTTCTTTGGAGGTGGACTGAACAGTCAAACCAGAGTTTCCAGTGATGGGAGGTGCACAGCCGCAGCCACTACAGATCCACAGTCCGCTTCTGTTATTTGTTTAAAAAAACAAGTGCTTTGAGTTATCCCATTGTCTGTCTTGCCTGAATTCTGGGTCCTACATTCTGAGTTATTACAACAGAAACTTCTACTAGTACAGTAGAACTATTCATAATCCAACACCTTCCAATTCCTTAAGATCAGTAAAAGGAATCACATTTCTGGATATCTCAATAAGAAGTTTCGACAGTTTGTATTTAGAAAAAATAACCTAAAACAGAAAGTGTTCAGATCTATTCTCAGTTAAATGTTATCCATATTGAATCTATAGAGTTTTACATTTCCTGTATATTTTTGAGGCGAATGCCATTTAAAAAGAATCATGTTGAGCAAAACATCCCCAAAGTAGTTTAAAGATTTAGAGAAAAACTTGTCTGAGGAAAGTAAAATGACCCAATGGACCATCTGGTTTGGAAAAAATCCTTTATCCAATATCCATAAAACAGTCAACAGAAACTCTGAGATCCTGGTAAAAATTCAAAGTATGAGTAAGGTCTTAAATGTCAGCAATTTCTGAGCCAAAAGCTTGGCATGAAGATACACAAACTGGCTCTGCAAGACGTTTGTTAGATGATACAACATCTCCCTGCAGGGGGATCTGTTATCTTTGGATATTATAGAATGCAATTTTAGGTTTAAATATTTACAACAAAGAAAGTTAAAGTTTCAGAATATCTGCACCCTAAGAGCTGCTACAAATAACATAGATTTTTTTTTTCTTCTGATGTGTTAAAAAAGTATAGGTTGCAGGCAGTGAAAAAGTATAGGAGTTGAGAGTTGACCAAAGTTCTGGACAGGACATGAGCATCTAACAGGCAACAAACCCATAGAAGAACCAGTCAGTTCAAAGATTCAGAACCTGATATCTTTTTACCTAAAATTAACACATGTTACTGTTAAAAGTTAATTATTTAAACAACCAAACCACTGGGCCACCATTTTTTTTTTAAAGAAAGGATAAATAATATTTAAGATTTATGTGTGGAGCTATCTCTATTATGCCAACTATTAACTGTTCTAAACTGGGTTTTGGTGTAACTTGCAATCTTTACTTTTTTCTAAAAAGAAAAAAAAATGTTAATAAAAAGAATTAACATTTTAAGGAGTGTTGAATAGCACGGTGAGACTAAGAAGGGTAGCAATTAACACCTGTAGCTGTACTGTACCAGTCGGCTAAACTCTGTGGGTGAACTCAAATATAACAGCCGTCAGGCTGTGAACATTAATGAAGGACCAACAGCAAACTGCCACACTGAGAGCTTACTCATGCTGCTTTTCTGCACTGGTGGAAAAGTGCAACTGATTACTCTTACATAACACGTTAAGTCTAAAGTGGTCCCTGATTAAAAACAAGCTGAAAATAACATTGAAACCGCTCATTATTTTAAACTTTTAGAGACAAATCACACAGCATCTCTACGAATGTTCAGTTTTTTTTTGCCCACCTGTTAAGTTTTTTAATGTTTTGTTTTGTAATCACCAATATAAAATGCAGCACTGTGCAAAAGTGTAGATTTATCCCTTGTTTTATTTCGATTTCACTAACAGACAGTGAAGTAGTGAAGTGTATAAACCTGATTTAGTTACACCAGCTGTGTCGGGAGAAAAGAGCTGGTGTTTCAGAAGCTTATGGAAGGTGTGCTATTTGAAATGCAGTGCTGCTATATAGTAAGAAAATGTGTGCATATCTGAATTTCAAGATTCAGCTAGTTTAAAAACAAATAGAATGAGTCTACTTTTTAGCAAACAGAAATTATTTTTAGTCCAAAGCACATTTTAGCCTATTTTTAATTTGAAACAGCAAAAAAGTTTGTTAGTTTAATCTATGTTGTATTTATACATCTTGGTTTAACTGTGTTCATAAAGTTGCAATGCAACAATTATAGGTAATATAGTTACCCCAAACAGTCAAGTTTTAGCCATCTTGAATAAAAAACAAAAAAAAACAAAAAAAAAACAATCAGTCTTGGTGTTTTTGGGCACTAA